TTAGTATGTTCAAAGAGTTGCGCAACTGTCACCTCTAATTCCAGAACATTCTATCACCCCAAAAAGAAGCCCCAACCCCATCAGCAGTCACTCCCCACCCTCTCCCTCAGCCCCTGGCGACCACGAATCCACGACCTGTCTCTGTGGCTCTGCCTGTTCTGGACATTTCACACAAACGGAGTCTCACACTGTGTGTCCTTCTGTGTCCGGCGTCTCTCACTGAGCAAATGTCCTTGAGGTCCCTCCACGCTGTGGCCTGTGTCAGAGCCTCGTCCCTTTTCCTGGCTGAGTGATACTCCAGTACGTGGATGGACAGCTCTATTTTGTCCATTCACCCCTCGACGGACACTGGAGTCGTTTAACTCACGTCTACATGCGTACACGTCCTTTTCTTTGTAAGTAAGTCTGCTCTGGAGTTACTGCCCATGACATGGTGGCTTGTCACTGCTGCCAGGGAGGTGAGCACTAAGGCTGATGCTCGAGGCTTAAAAAATGTCTACCACGGATGAGACCACAATGATTTTTAGTGGGCTGAGCTAAAATATCTATGTTATAACTTTACCGAGGTACGGTTTACATGTCATACAATTCAACTGCAGTGTGCAACTCAAAGATTTTTTATTTAGTTCACCGAGTCATGTGGCCACCCCCGCAACACAGTCCTGAACCATCCCATCACCCCCGAGAGACCCCTGGGGCACGCGGATGGCCCCCGCCTCTGGCCACCACAGCTCACCATCCTGTCCCTACAAATCTGCCTTTCCTGGGAATTCTGCCTTCTTCTCTAACTTGTGTGTGTGTGTGTGTGTTTATTTCTTGTTTACACTAACAAAGCAAAGGCAAATAATTTATTTTTAAATGATTTCCTCCTCGTACATTTTAAAAGCCTCACAAAACCCTTCAGAAGCAACCAGACAGAGGAGAGCTAAGGGACCAGCATTAGAGTCTCAGCTCTGCTCCTAACTTGTTCAAAAGAATCTTCCCAGATGATACAGCCGGTGGCAGATCCCTCAGGAGTGGCATGGTGCCGTTCTCAGGGTAACGATTGCATTTTTGCTCTATTAGTTCCTGAGAGAGCTTATTTACAAAAAAATAAAA